CAAAACACCAGAAAAAAACAAACTTTGTTCAGCACCACAAAATTTACACTGGAACAAGAACTTTTGAATGTGGCAAATGTGAGAAATTCTTTAAACCAAGCTCCAGTCTTTTTCAACACCAGAGTTTACACAGGAGCAAGGCCCTGTGAGCACAATGAATGTGGGAAATGCTTTTGCTCCAACTGCAGGGACTCCAGAAACTTCACACCAGATATAGGCCTCATGCCTGTAGCCAATTCAGTTATGAGTCTACTCTGAGGGCTGTAGATGTAGCTCACTGGTAGGGCACTTGCCAAGCATACATGACGCCCTGAGTTTGATTCACTGAACTGCTTCAAAGGAGAGTCTACTTTGATTCAGTATTTACAACCTCACAACCCAAAGTTTCATTAATTCAGTGAATCTGTGACAGCAGTGTGAAAGCCTTCACCCAAGGATCCGGCCTCATTCAATATCACAAATTCCACACAAGATAATGGCCTGAGGCCTTCAGGGAATGTTGTTCCAATTCAGTGTAACAACAGTGCAGTCTTTGTGTGACAGAGGCCCCACCCTGAAAATGACTCCATACACCTGAATATTAACAGCAAGGAGATTCTGCTGGAGTTCCACGTAAGTGGGAAGTTTGCAGAAGCTGCAGCTTGCATTGTAACCTGACCAGGATCCTTGCCTGAATTATGCCTTATTCAACCTTTCCTCCATTCCAGCATGTTCCTCCACTGTGACAATAACATATACCCTCTCTAAATGACTTCACCTAAAATCACATTTGAAAGATGAATTCACAAGTTTTCCATCCTGCCTTACCTTTCACCTTTAAGCTATCATATATGGTCTTGTTTTAAATGTTTAAACATAAACAGAAGATGTGTGTCATTCCAGTTCCCCACTGCATGAAGGATAACATCAGTTCCATCAAGGTGGTGAAGATGTTTTATGACCTGGTTCCTGCCGCCTCACTAGCCTTTCCCTTTTCTCTTATACCTATACCAACTGCCTAAGTTTTCCTGAACACAGCAGGCTGTTCCTTTGCCTAAATAAAGGTACCTCTGTGGTAGCTGAACTGTTTGAGGAAGGTATTCTCCATCTCTTTCCTAGGTCCCAGATCTAGTACACTTATTTCACTTTTTTCTCTCCTCATAGATCTTTTACTCATCTCATGCTGCCTGTCTCACTGTGCCTGCTTCCCTTAGCCTGTACTTTGTGGTATTAATTAGGTTCGTGACCTACAGCTTTCTACACCTTCCCAAGCTCATATACAGGAACCAAAATCCTATAAACCAAATGCTTTGTAAAAGCAACTTCAGTGCCAAATATTGGGTCATCATTTGTTTCAAAACTCTTGCCCTATTTCCTGTTGCTGGTAAGGAGATGCTCCTGGTTATCATGGTCGGAACAAAAGTATAGACTGCTATTGTTACATAAGCCAAGAAAAAATTATTACACTTTTAGGGACAGATAATGTCTGTCACTGTCTCCATGTTTCACTAGTTTTCCCATTTTATCAGTAAAAATATCTATATTGCATTGATATATCTGCATTTCTTTCGTTGTGATTTGAGAGTACAATATTTTTTCTGTGCTATATTAATTTTTACATATAGGAAAATATTTTCCTATATTTCATACAACTGAAGAATGATACATATAAGGGTGTAAAGATCAAATACCACACCTGAGCACTGATCTTGGTTTCCAAAGGCCTAGGTTTTAAGATTTAAAAACAGGGGCCAACAAACTACTACCCCGTTTCCCTGAAATGTACAAACACTTATTTACTCATCTGTAGCTGCTTTGGTGAAATGGCACGGTTGTGTAGTTCCAATAGAGATCACATAGTCTGAAGCATTTACTGACTGGCCCTTTACACAGAAATTTTATCAACACCTAATTTAAAAAATAAGCTCCAAAACGAAATTGCAGACATCTTAACAGCTGACATGAGGCCTCTTTCAGGGAACAGAGTTCACTTCCCAGTACCCAGGGTTCAGAAAATCTGTTCAAACAACTAACTTTACTACTATATTCACCAAAATAATTTTTAGAAGACTAAACACTGTCAGAACAAAGTCCAGATTTAAAAGGAAACATATTAACTCCAATAAAATGCCTTTTAACCTCACCCAGTCAACTTTTTATAAAGCACCTACTTACTATATATAGCATTCCAACTAAAGGGAAATTTCATTGGGTTAATCAAATTTCTACCCCCCACCCTTCATAGTAACTGAACCTGTATTAAAATATTTACAGCTATGATTAAAAAGTATATTCCCAACTGAGAAAAAGATGCCCACACTTGCATCTTAAACAAAAAAAAGATTTTAGGATACCTAGTGCCTATTAAAAATGGGTAACTGAAAAGAATTATCTCCCGTCATAATTCCTTAGTACATTCTTTGTTCATCTTTAGTGTTAGGAAGAACCTTAACAAAGTGAATGTAAAAGAAAAAAAACCCTACCTTACCTACCTTATTATAGTGCTTATTTTCACAAAAAAAGCATGAAGTGATATGCCTGAGTCTATTCTTAATGATATTAAAGTATGGACCATGCTTGTAATTAATTCACAAAAATATGACAGCATTAAAGTTCAAGAGTCACATTTCACAAAACTGGTAAATTTCAGGGCCAGGGATTTAGCTCAGTAGTTCCACCACTTGCCTCGCAAGCGCAAGGTCCCAAGATCGATCCCCAGTACCATAAAATAAAAAAATAAAATAAAAAATAAATTTAAAAACTGGTAAATTTCATATTTAAAAGACAAATAAAATCAGACCATCAAGCTTTGCTCATAACTGACCATAAAGCCAAACAAATGAAATAGAAATTAAACAGGTCAATTTTAATTCACTGTGAGAACTCAAGATTGTTCCATACCATTTAGAAAGTACCTGCCTGTTTATAATGTAATTCTTAAAATAGATACAGTACAAGATACTGGTGCTCCTCCTAAATAACACGGTGTTGATAGTAGTGAAACGAGCTGAAATTTATAAAACACGTACCAAAGGCTACAATATATACCAGGGGTTTTTCCCTTTTCATCCCCAAAATAACTCTACGGAATAATTTCTAGAGAAACCAAGTATCAGGATTAAGGTTGCAGCTAAGGGGCAAAACCAAGTTTCAAACTAGGTATACCTATGCCCAACATTCTGTATGTCAATACATTAGAATAACCAGGGGCATTTTAAAATATCCTATAGCCCACACTTGAGTCTAATACAACCACAATCTCTAGGAATGGCGACAAAGCTATTACTAGCTTTTAAGCTCCCTAGTAATAATATATAGGTAAGTATGGGAAGCACAACTACATATGTTCCTATATATCACAATGTTCAGTGCAGCAGTGTCCTAACAGATCTAAAGATCTGCCACAATTGTAACTTCAATCATTGTGCCAGATTGTTTCTACAAAATAAATACTCTTATAAAGGGAAGATGGACTAAATTTAAATGACAAATTAAATAACAAGTGATTAACTTGCACGTTATATCTCATAAATAAAAATTAACCTACTAGAAAACATTTTCAATTAGGTAATTACTGAATTACACATTCCCAAGTCCCAAACTATAAAGTTTATATTAAAAGAATCACAGCTCATGGAAGTAAAAAGAATTGAGATGTGTTATGTATATGAACCAACTCCCCACAATATAATCATTATATACTGCAATCATGTACTAATAAAAGTATTTGACTAAAAAAATATCTCTCGGAGCTCTCCTTGGAGTCCCATCATTATTGTGAAATCCTGGTATTTGGCCTTGCCTAAAAAATGGAATTAACAGTAAGCAGCACTGTACCATTGTAGGCTTTAGGAATTTTGCAGTTTTTTGAAATGTCAGCTGCCTGTCATCTCAAAGGCTAACCATTGTAAACCTCAACTTAAACTGTCCTAAAGTTATCACAATATCCATCTGATTATAAAATGGCAGAAGACACATTTTTTTTAAATCTGAAATTTAGAAACTCAGGATTTTTAAATGTAAATGTTTCTCCAGTCTCTTCTAGTTGTTTTAGCAAAAAAAGGTCTGCATCTAACAGATTTCATCATCCTATTAACCAAACAGTACAATTTAAGGCCACCAACACATTCAATGTGTGATACCAACAATTTTGTCAAAGGATGCTTTAGGTCAGTAGTGGTGAACTTACGGCATGCATGCCGCAGCAGGCTATTTGTACCATTGAAAAGTTTACATCACTGCTGTAGGTTCTCTTGTGGCTAATACTACATTTAACTCTAGCTGATAAGAGTGAATTGTAGCAAATTACATTTATAATAAAAGCCTATTTAAAAAGTTTTAGATGTACTTAACACTTTTTATTACTACTAACTCATCCTTAGAAGTTTAAAGGAGTTCAAGTATGTTGTCTCTGTAATTTCCTCATCATCACCAGCCTCAGTGAGAATAGCAACAGCATAAACAAAAACACACCTTGTGGTGAAAGCTGGGGAGTCTGGGCATGGTATTGATGTGGAAACAGAAAAACCACTGCAGTCTGCTAAGAAACATCCAACCAGCTCTTAGTGTAGGATTAGATCAATCTGATATAAAACTCCAAATAATTTTGCTCTAAGCTTGTGGTCTTTAACAATCAGAATATATTTATACATGGGGATAGGGAAGAGGGAAAGCTAAAAGCAAATGAAAGTAAACAAAGCCAGAAAAATCAAAATACAAATACAGAGCTAAAATATTGTTCTAGTCAGCAGTAAAAGATATAAATCCTGCTGGGGATTTAGCTCAGTGGCTCCACACCTGTATGGCAAGCACAAGGTCCTGAGTTCCATCCCCAGTACCGGGTAAAAAAGATATAAATCCTAAAATAAATGTGCAAATGAAAACGGTCAAAATTTATTCCTTTGTGCAGGATAAAGATTTTTTTTCCTACCTCAGAAAGTAACCATCTTTAATGAAGTATAAAAAGTAACACATGCTGTGTTTAGAAATCAATACCTTGAACACTACAGAGAACAACAATATTCTGAAAATCCAGTTTATTTTCCATGTTGTGGACAGATCCAGTCAGTGTGATCAGTTTTTCTGCATGTGTAATAATTTATCAAAATAAGTTTTCCCACAAGACTCTTTTCCATCAACTCTGAAAATCCTGATCTGACAACATACCTGAATATTTAAAGCTCTTGAAAATCATCTTTTAAAATTTGGAACAAAGTGTGAAAAGTCTCTCCTGTAATACTTAGTGCACTACAAATAGCGAAAGAGGAATTTATGTTTTAAAAGGTGACTAGTACAACAGCTGAGTTCAGGAAATTAATGTTTTAGTGCACTCTGCTCCAGTTTTAGCTAACATGCTACATCTTCCTTTCTGCCTTTTGAGGAATGGGGTTGGGTGGCGCACAAAGTGATCTTGAAGATTTCCACTGTATGAAAAAGATAAGACTCTGCAAGCAAAACAGTGTAAGCTGCCTTTTTTTCCTTAAGACCTGGACATTTTAAGACAGAAGCTTTGCAAAACATTACACAATTTTTTATTATTAAATGAGAAACTCTCATTTGTTACATCGTCACATTGCTAGTCAGAGAAATGTTGCAGTGATGAAGAAAGTCAATGTTGGATCAACCAAAGTCCTCATTTCTACAACATTCATTTACAAAGAAATAATGTTCAACACAGCCCAACCCAATATTCTTGGCTTTCTTCATATTGAAGTCCCCCAAAAAATCATCTTCTAATGGGGTATATTTCACTACATAAATTATAGTTCTTCATTTTTACAATTCACCCCAAACTGCATGAGAGATGTATCACACTAAAATTTCTAAAGCTGTTAGGAAATCCTTCACACATCGTCGTCATCTGATGTGTCACTGCTACTTGTCTCTGTGTCATCATTCTCAATTGTGGGTTTAAAAGTGCTGTTTTTCCAGGGTCCAAACTTGAAGTCACAGATCAGGCCATTTTTCAAAATACCATTTTTTCTCAGACCATTCTTCTGTAACTAAAATGTTAAAAACAAACAAATAAATAAAATTTCCCCCAAGTGTTACCCATTAAGAATATTATAATAAAGTACAAACATGAATATAATAAAAAACTTAAGAAACTGTATCCTAAATCCTAAAATATCCATAGTGAATATCATGATATCTGGCAAATAAGCTATTTAGACAGATAGATGTAACTGATTTAATTGAGCTAACAAATTATTCCCTAATAGAATTCTTTGGGTGAATAAACAGTACATACATCCACCAAACCACTACAAAACAATTAAAGTGAACAGCATAATAGAGAACAGATTTTGGATCTAGACAAGGTAGATGCGAATACTGTCACACTTCCCAAGATGTTAAACTTTTCCAAATTTTCATCTCCTTACATGAGCACTGTAATAAAGACACCTTCAGATTCTGCCTAGCACAGTGGTGGCGAACCTCTGGCACCCATACCATAGCCAGCTGCCTGTTATCACAGAATGCTCTAAAAGGTTTGCCATCCACTGGCCTAGTATATCTCAGCAACCATTAAGCTATAGCTATTATTTTTATTATGATGACCTAAGTCAACACAGCCAACAGTGTGCTTTATTCACACTTTGTAGAAAAAGTAGAATGAGGCATACAAAGTAACAAAAGTCTTTTGCTTAACCATGGAAATTAAGATACTGAAAAAGAAAGTTTGCTATTTCTGAATATGAGAGATCATAACTAAAGGAGCAAGGATAGTATGGTAATAAATAAGAATTGAATCAAATGATCATCTGTCAAGAGGGAGAAACCGATGGTTATCTCAATTAGAAATAAAGATATAAGAAAATAAAACTAATGATAATATATAACCGATTAATTCTGGCCTTCTGAATTTCTTTCACGAAAAATCTAAGACTAAATAAGTTAAGATTTGGAACTGCTTATAGGTGTCCTATTATAAAGGGAATTCTTTAATCATAAGGATTACAAAATAATTTGGAGAAAATTCAAACCCAAGGACCCATTGCTACCATGGCCAATACATACTGTTACATATACAATAACAAATCTAGGGTCTTAACTTTGTTTCCCTTCCCTTTAAATTCTCTGTTTTTCACAGATTTTCTTTTCCACCTCATTTTTATTCTAAAACTCATTGATACCATCTCACTCTTCACTTTGAACAAATGACCTCACCATCTTTACTGGGAAAAACCATAATGCATCCACCTCCAATGGTCTCAGCCACCATGAAGTACAAAAATACACCTGGTCCCTCTTTTAAAAGTATATCTTATTTCCATTCACCAAAGGTCTATCCTTGCCTCACATTATTCATCAGCCAATGCTACCTTACCTTGCCACCGCTTGAAATCAGCTGTGGAAAATTTTGATAAAAAATAAATCCAAGTTTCTATGTCTCAATCCTCAATTTCTAAATGCGTGGATCACCCCAGAGAACCCTTAACAAAAAAACTTTAAAGTCTCCTAAACCAGTTTCTCCTTCTATATTCCTATTTACAATACTATCATCAGTTCAGAGGTTGGAATTTCAAAATTCTACTGGTTTTATTACAGATTTATTTTTATCAAGACCATTTTTATTGTCATTTCCCTAGTTTAGGCCCTCTCCTCCTTTAATTATGCAATATATTTCCAACTGACCATTCCGATTCTACTCTGACAAATTATACTTTCAGTGTGCATTTTATACTGCACTTCATGTTAAAAAAAAAAAAAAAAGGATGGATTGTTTCTCATCGCCAACAAAACCTCCAAAGAACTTATATTTACACCCTTCACATTCCTAGCTTGGCATTCAAACTCCTTCATAATATGACTCCAGTGTACAGGACCCTCAAGTTATGACCAGCCACACATACAAACATCTTGGGTTATGACCAGAATTTTAGTTGTAACTTATGACCAAAGTCTTGAGTTATGACCTGAATGCTGGCCACATGGCCAATTGTAAACTCTAGAGAGCAGAAAAGTATATGTGTCAGTCTGAGCCCAGGTGCACATGGTTTCTCGACATGATTTCCATCAGCACTTTATATAATCGCTATGGTTACTGCAATCAAAATGGCCCCCAAAGAGCTAGAGAAGCAACTAAGGAAAGAAGGGAAGGTAAAGAAAGAAATCACAATGGAAAAGAAGGAAATTGTGGAGAAATATGAGAGTGGCATTTGTGTGACCAATCTTGCTAAAATGTACAGCATGTCAAAATCCACCATCTCTACAATCCTAGAGAAAAGATTTGTATAAGGTGTTAATCAAATTGGTAACTTACAATCAATAGTGTTAGGCAATATACAAAGGCTATTAGTATGGATAATCAAAAGGCAGAGGGCAGGTTATAGCCTATCTGAAAAGGTTAGGGCTATAAATGCAGAACTCATGAAGGTAATCCATCAACGAGTGATAATGGTGAAACATTTCGTGCCAGTTAGGGTTACATACCACTTCAAAATGATGACAGAGAGAAACTGCTTTTGCTCTCATCAAGTTTTCAACTGTGATGAAACTGGCCTTTTCTGAAAGAAAATGCCCAGGAGAACATGTATTTCCTAAGAAGAGAAGAAAATGCCAGGCCACAAGCCTATGAATGATAGACTAACCTTATTGCTTATGTGTCAATATGAGTGGTGACCTCAAGATAAAGCCTCTCTTGGTTTATCACTCTGAGATCCCTAGAGTGTTCGGAAAACATAAAGTCATGAAGAATAGGCTAGGGTTCATGTGAAAATGTAACACAAAAGCCTGGGTAACAAGAGCACTTCTTCTTGAGTGGATCATGGAGGCTTTTTGTCGTGTTAAGAAATCTAGAGGACAAAGGTTTACCACTCTTGCTCTCCTCATCATGGAAAATGCTTCTGCTCACCCATGAGATTTGGAAGAAGTGGCTGCAGATTTCCCATGGCTCTCAGTCAAGTTCCTCCCACCTAAAAAGAACTCCTACTGAAGCCTATGGACCAGCAAGTTATAGCTAACTTTAAAAAACTGTACACCAGGGCTGGGGATTTAGCTCAGTGGTTTCATTGCCTGCTGTGCAAGTGGCAAGGACCTGAGTTTGATCCCTGGTATTAAAAACAAACAAAAAAAAAACTACACCAAGGAACTGTTCCTGAAGTGCTTCCAGATGGTCTGAAATACAGATTTTAACCCTTAAAGAGTTCTGGAAGGAACATTACAACATCCTTTCCTGTGTGGAGTTAACTGAGAAATCCTGGGCCAATGTCTCTCTGAGAATACCAACATCTGCCTGGAAGAAAATGTGGCCTAAAATTATATAGGAGACAGACTTTGAAGGCTGTGTGAAAGAGACTGAACCTTCAATTGACCCTGTGGTTGATGAGACACTGTCACTACAGCAGTCCATAGGCTTGCAGGTAGACAGTGAAGTTGAAATTGGTGGAGGAACACTCAAGAGGAACTGGCTGAGCAAGAGAATGGCAGCTGGGGAGCTTTCCGAAGAGGAAGGAGAGTATCAATAATCAGTGCAGCAAAGTTCTTCTTTGAAACAAAGAAAATCCTGAAAAAGTGGACAGAGCTACAAACATTTGTGGAGAAGATTTATCCAGACAGAGAAAAAGCCAATCATTCCATTCACTTGCTTAATGACAATGTCAAGTCATACTATAGAACAACGTTGAAGAAAAGACAGAAACAGACAACCTTAGACCAGTTTTTAGTTCTGAAAAGGTTGAGACCTAGTAAGCCAGAAGCAGGTCCTAGTGGGCTACAGACTCTCCCAAGGAAAGGACATCAGAGAGCCAGAGTCCTATGTTCTTATGGAAGGGGACGCTCCTTCCAAACAATGAGCACCTTCCATTTCACCCGCCCTTCCTGCAAGCCAAAGATGTCAACTTGAATGGTGAGTACAGTATAAATTATTGTTTCTGGTAAACTAGGCACATTTTGTAACTTTTTGGTGAATACATTAAGAAAACTATTGGTGTTTCTGGTAAATTATGCACATTATACAACTCTTTTATTATGAAAAGGGGTGCTTTGGAAGGTTCGGAATGCATTATGGGTATTTCCTTTATTTCTTATGGGAAAAATAGTATTGACTTTACAACCCGCTCTCGCAAATGAATTGAGGGTCTTTATCTTTCTTTAGTGTAACCTTTATCATGATTAAAGGCACAGGCTATCTTTCTTTAGTGTAAACTTTATCATGGTTAAAGGCACAGGCTATGAAATTAGCCAAACATGGGCTCAAATTCCAGCTGTACTTAGAAACTAGATGAGCTTTAGTTTCTTCATCTGTAGAGGATTAATAATAGTACCTACTTCATATTATGGCTTCGAAAATGCACTTAGCACAATAACCAGCACACATTAAGAACTCCAGCAATGTTAATGAGAGGCGGTGTCATTTATCACTCAAACTACAGTACCTCAAAAGTGAAAATAACCACTGTTTTTAATAACTACACGAGGATATCAGGAAAAAACAGATTCTCCTAAGCAAATCAGGATATACATTATTATCATGGCCTTTACTTAAAAGCTGTCTACCCCAATACTTTTTCTGCCATCAGCATACCCTTTACTCTTTTGCCTCTATTTTATTCCTTGCACCAGCAATGTCACTGCCTCATCTTATCCTTCAAAGGCCAATTCAAATCTAACTCCTTAATTATGTTTTCTCAGATCTCCACAACTGGAATTACTCTCTAGATTAATCACTAGGATGTAAATTCTGCTCTGCAAACAAGTGTGCAAGCCCTTGGTTTCAATTACTTTGGGTATACAACTGTTGGATTTTTATAGTGGTTGAAATAGTTTTGGAGGAACTGCCACACTATGTTTCAGTGGCTCTGCCATTTTACATTCCTAACAACTGCACAAGAGTCAGGTTTTTCCATTTCTTTGCCAACAATTGTTATTTTGTTTTTAAAAAAATAACCTTTCTAATTGGCAATTCAGTTTGGGATGTGCTTTTGATTTCTATTTCCTTAATGATTAGGTCTGTGTCAGGCTTAGACTGTTTTGCTTACTATAGCTTTGTGATAAATTTTGGAATCAGGAACCTTGGGCATGTTCCTACATGCCTCTAATCCCAACTACTCTGAAGACTACAGCAGGAAGTTTGCAAATTCCAATTTAGCAAGGTTCTATCTAAATAAAACTTTTTTAAAAAAATAAAGTGCTAATGGTGTAGCTCAGTACTCCTTGAATTCAATTCCTAGGACTGCCAAAAAAAAGTTTTGGAGTCCCTTCAGATTCCATAAGGATTTCTATTTCTGCAACACATGCTGTTGTGATTTTGAAAGGTATTGTTACTGAATCTTTTGATCGTTTGGGTAGTTTTGACATCTTAATAATAAGAAGTGTTCCAAGCTTGAGCATGGGATGTCTTTCCATTGCTTGGTATCTTTTATTTTTTTTCAGCATTGTTGTTGTGGGTTTTGGATGTACATTTTTTGCCTCCTTGGTGAACTTTATTGCTTGTGTGCTACTTCTAAATTTTTTTCTTTTATGGTATTACAAGTGGAATATTTTCTTAATAATACTTTTTGAACTGTCCGTTGTTAATGCTGTGTGTTAAAAGTGCAACTGATTTTTGTGTGTTGGATTTTACTTCCTGCAACTTTGCTGCTTATTTCAGTGTAGGGGGCGTATTGGGGTTTTCTACATTATGTATTCCATTTTCTTATTTTTTCCTTTTCAAATTTTTGTTTTTGAAACTGAGTCTGGGTAGTTCAGGCTGGTCTTGAACTATGTAGCCCAGGCTGGCCTCGAACTAACTCCCAGTAATCCTCCTGCTGGTTCCTCTCTGGCACTATGAACTTCCAGGCTGCCATAAACCGAGCAGCTTTGCTCTATCCCTACTCCCTTCCACCATGACCTTCCTGGTGATTATGAACCCAAAACATTAGTTAAATTAAACCTTTCCTCCTATGGGTGTCAGGTATTTTGTCTTACTAATGGAAAAACTAATACAAGTGTTTCTGAAGATCACAATATAAATATACCATCTTCATATGGAGGAGGCTCTGCATAACGAGAACAGTTTATAGACACAAAATGTTAAAGAATATGAAATATTTTTGTGCAAGAGAAATGGAAGGTGAAGTTACTTTATAACGTAGGTTTTAATAAATTCCTTAATAAAAGTGTAAACCATTCCCCCATGCTTTTTTTTTTGTACCAGGGATTGAACTCAGGACCTTGTGCTTGCGAAGCAGGCAGTGGAACCACTGAGCTAAATTCCCAGCACTCCCATGCTTCTTTATTCTAATTAAGGAAGATGCATTTAGAAGTGAATACGAATAACTCCGGTTTTCTTACCTGTTCACTAATAACTTGGAATTCTCTCATCTCATCCTCAGTTAAGGGAGCACATGTTTCATCATTTTCACTGTCCTCCTGCCAGCCCATTTCCTTCAACAACCTGAAAAGAAGGGAAATCATAAAGTTTGACTTAGAAAATGAACACACAAAAAATTCCATTTATGCTTTGAGTATTTTCTGAAAATAAATCAGATTAAGTTAAACTATTTTTAATAGTAAAATAAGAATAAACTGCTTAATTGATTAATCTTTGGTGTCAAGGCTAGGCTAGAAACTTGCAACAGAGGAGATGGGAAGGAAAATTTGCCAAATTCTTATACCAAAAGTAACAGTAATACTCTTCCCCTTTTTGTTCAATACCACAATTCCAACATATTCTTTACTACTCATTAAGTTTTCTATTGTAAAAAGAAAGAGTAGGAGGCCAGGCATGGCACACACCTGTAATGCCAGTACTTGGAAGGCTGAGCGAGGCAGGAGAATCCCTGGGAGTTTGAGGCCAGCCTGAACTATAGAGTGACACCCTGTCTTCAAAACAAAGCAAAACAAAACAAAACAAAACAAAACAAAACACAAAAACAGAACAAATAGGACAGCTTAGCCTATCTTGCATTTTACAGTTTATTCTTTTATAGATAGCACTTTAGGTATATGCCAATCATGACACATAAATGACAGGCATTATATCCTACAATAACAAAAATGTTTAAAAGCTCTCAATTATCTAAATAAGTAAAAATGAGTATGTATTCTTCTCTTTCCAATTTTTAAAGAATACTTTCACATCATGCAGAACTAACAAAGGACTGACCAGTAACTCTTTCTCTCTAGCTGGGCAAACACAAACACTGCACCAACAGCCACTGTATCTGACTCAATGATTTCAAGTTTCTGCTACCCAGGAGGCCATTTCTCTTATATTGGTCTGACAGGGTGGTTGTTTCTACTGCATTCCTTAAGTATTTTTTTCAGTTCTACTTATCCTTACCCAACTTTCAACCTGTGCCTGCCATTCATGAGCAGCCTGTAGACATTCATACCTTTTTGCAAGTCTCAAAGAGTATCATTACTCAGTAATCTCGAGAAAAATTCAACATGTGGACTATATTTTACAAATTTCCTACTTGATACAGCAAAGAAGGAATGGCATTTTGGTTTTCTGCCCTCAAAGTTAGTTAGATGCTGTACTAAACTCTGTTGCCCAAACCAAAATGTCACAGTCAATATTATTTCCTTCATTACTATTGAGCATTTAATTTTTATTTTCCAATGCACTGTCTTCACTTGTTAGCCACATGGCCTCTCTTTGGAACAGCATTTCCATTCCCTTTTATTGTTCAGTGCCACCTAAAACAAAATCTATAGATTTAGATTAGTAAAACAAACTAACTGCTTTTGCTAGGCTCATATATTTACTTTAAAAAAAGAACACTGCATCTTCATGGAACAATTAATGCAGACAGAATATACTATCATAACTATAACAAAAGGGGATATAACAAAAGACAAATATTGGACCAGGAGTGTAGTTCAGAGGCAAACTGCATGGCTAGCACATGCAAAGCCCTGGGTTAAATTCCCGGGAATAAAATTCTAATACTCCAGAATGATACTGTATATTATCTAACAGTTACATAACACTTGGACAAAAGAATTATTCTTAAGAACTGTATCACATCTGATTGTTAAATTCAACAAATATGAGAAGGGGGTAAGTATATACTTAAGAGTCACAATTAAATAAAGTTGACTGAAACTATGAAGCCTGGGAAAGAACTTTCACTCCATTTTTACCTAGATATAAAACCTGTAATCTGTAAGAAGCTATCACTTTGTTAGCTTAGGAAAAAAATGTATTGACATACAGCTTTGGAACACTTACAAACATGTTAAATTTAAGAAAACTCAAGCTAAGAATTTAAAGTGATTCCACGTCATTAGTATCTTTACTTTCACATTTTCACCAAATCTGAAAACAAGAATCTTGTAATTTCATTCTATGTATGGCTAGTAAAAAACTGTTTTTAGTGTCTTCTTCACCCTCATGTCCACATTAGGTAATAGAATTCCTAGAGTTAATTCAACAAACCTAATTTTGTAACAGTTGTCCAAAAGAAAAAAAAAAGTTTTGTTAAAACTTTTCAAGAAAATCTAAGTACATCCAACACTCAGGAGGCTGAGACAGTAGGAGCACCATTAATTTGAGGCCAGCTTGGACTACAAAGTGAATTCAAGGCCAACCTGAACTACACAGTAAGACCCTGTCTCAAAAAACAGAACAAAACAAAATACAAAAGAAAAATATGTACTGTTTTAAACAAAAAATAACTCACAAGATATCCAAAAGTAGACATGTATCTAAGAAACAATCGTTCAGGTAATTAATAAATAATCAGCCAGGTAGTCATCACTGATACATTTTTACTCATGATGGGTCTGAATTATTTTCTCCCCAGGACTTACTCCAAAATTTAGGGTATTTTCAGCTTGCTTTCTTTGGCTTATTTCCTGAGATCTATTGTCTTCATTTACCTCACTAGCAGTCACACAGAACCAAATTCTGTCAAGGTATGGAACTAAAGTCTTAATGGGTGAAACAAGAAACCACCAACATGTTTTCTGCACTAAACATTTGCTCTAAAGATAAAAAACAATACAGTTAAAGAATTCAATATAGCTATGAGGGGTTTTAAGAACCATTTCTAAGAAGTGTGGACCAACTTCGTTTGCGTACTAGGCATCAATTTTACTAGAGCCATAATTAATAGATTCTAATACATAAAGAATGTATCTTTCGGGGTCAGGGATTTAGCTCAGTGGTTCTGGCGCCTGCCTTGCAAGCGTAAGGTCCTGAGTTCGATCCCCAGTACAAAAAAAAAAAAAAAAGAATGCATCTTTCATCATTGTTTTTTTATTGCCTATGCTAAATCTTCCCTAAAAGAGAATTCATATTTTACCATCATTAGAATATCAGATGTATTTGTATACTTTCTCTTCTACACACAGACCTTCTTCCTACCACCTGTCTGACTTGAAATATTTAAATAGTGACAAGTGTAAATCAGAATATTTTGGGATAACATGACAGCAACTGATCATTTAAAATAATGTCACTTAACCAATCAACTTCACTCCTAGTAATCTAATACCCACAAATACTGAAGGATATAAATCCAAGGATATTTATACCAGCAAGATTTGTAAAAGCAGAGAATGTAAATCTTCATCAATTAAGTTTCATAAAATACAACCGTACTATCAAATAATGGATTCAAAGAGGAAATCAAAGATGATGCATTAGAATGATGGAGAAATGCATCAGAATGGAGCAAAACTTTTAAATTTCATTAGTCTTTTAAAAGAGAAATTAATGTTTATTATTTTCTATATGGCTTGACACTGCATCCATGATTCAAGTCCACAGATCAGTTACAAGTCATAAACCGTATTATGTGAGTAGAGATCTACAACTTAGGAGGGAATAAAAGTTATTCATTCACATTAAATATATACTAACAAAATAGTTTGTCTGAACAAATGAGTTTATGTTTAATGATTAATTTAGCTCTAATTTAATCTACCTAAATGAACTCATGAAATGAGCATTCACATTTATCACCAGCCTAATCATTTAGTCACAAGTTGTTAAGTCCGCAGTAGGAAAACTGTAAAATTAAAAGAAATGTTTATACTGCCATATACACAGCTATATCTAAAGGATACAATGGGGCCACATTTAGCTCAGTGGTTCTGTAGCCTGCTTTGCAAGTGCAAGGTCCTGAATTCGATCCCCAGTACCAAAAAAATAAAAAGAAAGAAACAAAGAACATGTTTTATAGAAGGAGAAAAATGATAGATCATGGAGATGAAATAACAATACACAATTCAAGTATAAAGATTACACAGGTCTTTAAAGGAAAACCTTTATTAAATAAGTTTTACAGTGTAAGTGTAGACAGATTAGAACTTTATAGTGATGCCGCCACCTGCCTCTTAACTGCAAGGTCCTGAGTTTGATCCCTGGTGCCAAAAACAAACAAACAACAACAATAAAAATAAAGGGATGGGTGCTAGAAGTGTACTATAAATCATAGGGGGAAAAGGGGAGAAATCAAAATCCACACTAGACTGGAATATTCTTCAATTCTGAGACTAAACCATGTAAGAGTTACTACTATTTTAAAAATGTTTTTAAGACTACAATGATGAAAACAGGAAAGGCTCTTGACAGTCTGCAGCAAATAAATCACATACAGAGAAAACTGGATAACCACTACAGGAAAGGATGATTTTGAACTCCTACCTCACACCATACAAAAAGCTTATATAAATGATCAGAAGCTGGACTTCAGTCATAATTAAAAGGTTTCACCCTTCAAAAAGGCACCATTGATAAACTAAAAACACAACTCAAGGGAATGGGAGGAGGTGTCTACAAATCATATAGGAAACTTATACACAAAATATATAATGACTCTTACAACTTTAAATGAGAATGTAACTGAAAAATGGACGAAGTATTTGAATAAGTATTTTTCCCAAAGATGACATAGGAAAAGATGCCCAATACTTTAATCATTAAAGAAATGCATATTTAAAACCACAAAAAAATACCACTTCATATCCATTAGAATAGCTATATTGAAGATAGATGGTACCATATGTTGGTGAAAATAGGAAGAAAACAAACCTTCTACATTGCTTAAGATGATTAAAAATGGTAGTCATTTTGCAAAATACTCTTCAGTTTCTCAAAATGTTCAACAGTTACCTATGTCTCTCTAAACAATTCAACTCCTAGATCTCTACCGGAGAAATAAAAAATACACAAAATCTTGTACATATATATTCATAACATGATCTGTAACAGTGAAAAGGTGGCAATAACTAATATCTACTAACCAATGAACAAAAAGTGGTACAGCCAATGTACTGTTCAGCAATGAAAAAAGGAAAAAAGTACTGACGTGACTAAACAAACCTTGAAAATATGAAGACGCTAGACACAAAGACCACATATGATAAGAATCCACTTATAATAAAGTCATAAAAGGCAAGTCTACAGGCAAATGTTAACGAGTTGTTAAGGAGAGCAGAATGTGAAAATGAGGAGTAAATGCAAATGAGCACGGCTTTCTTCAAAGACAGGTTCTAAAATTACACTGCAATGGCAACTGCATGACTCCACATACTAAAAATAATTGGTCTGTACACTTAGAATAGGTAAAATTTATGATTATGTACATCTCAATAAGCTTGTTAAAAATAAATTAGGGTTGGTGGTACAGCTCAGTAGTATAGCACATGCCTAGCATATGCAACCTAGGTTGTACAGCATTGCAAAACTCCATGAATCACACAAGAGGCCTATAATACAGGAAATGCCAGAGAAAAAGTAAAAATCAATACTGACCTGTGTTCTGCCTCAAGTGAACTGGAAAGAATATCAGTTTGTGGGAAGGTTGAAGATCGAATTATCTGTTGGGAAATTACTGAGGCATTGCCATTCTCTTGTGGAATCTCATTTTCATCAAAGTTTCTATTTATATCCCTTTCTTGATGAGTACTATTGCTGTTATGCAAATTGAATGAGTCTTCATCCTGGTTTTTAGGGAATATAAAAGAGAAAATGAGCTCTAACAAACACAGTTACTATAAAACTTTAATAAATTTTGGCTAGATTCCCATGGAGAATATAAGTGTGATATTTACAATCATTAAATTTTGAATAGTCTTGTAATGGCAAACTGTGTAAAGACACTTAGAACTTTTTGACCCTAAGTAGTCACATCTACTCAACAAAGGCAAAACAGAAAGGATAAGAATGCATAGAGAGAAAAAGAAAATAAATATGAACAGAAATTTTTAAATCAATCACAGCAGAGAAAATGAAAAGAATCAGAAAATATACTTTAGAAAGGAAGCCATTAATTATGCAAATGGTTAGCTAGCCTTTTTTCAGGAAGATCAAACTTTGTTCCAAAATCTTAAATATCTGCCCAAGTATTCTAATGACATGTTAATGTAAATTCAACTATTGCTACAAACTAATTACCTTCTCTGAGCAGGCATGGCTTTCATCTTCATGTTCCTCTTCTACCCTGTCCCTTTTTAATGCTTTCAAAAATTCACTCTTCTTATCAGTGCGCATTCGTGTCAGTTTGGTTAGACGAGGCTGTTGATTAAGTTTGTCAACAGGCGAAGAGGAATTTGAACGATTACACTAAGAGGAAATTCAGAAATGCTGATAAATATGTATCCATGAACTGATATCAATATAAAGTTCGAAGCTGTTGCAACTTCCTTTTTTGCCTTTATTCACATGTAACACTGATCTTAAGGTCTATTTCAAACTCTTATTTTTCTCTATCCCTATATATTTTTTCCTTTTGTTTTGAATGAGTCAACAAAAGAATGTTCGCTCAGAGCCAAGATCTGATAATATTAACAGTAGTTTTTCAAATTATGTTTCAAAAGTTCTAGGATTCAAACAACAGTGAGATCTATTTTACAATTACTTATATACATATACACCTAGGGTTTTTCAGGATAGATTTCGCCACAAAAAATTTTGGAGAGAAGGGATGGTAAGGGGAAAATGGGACATTAACTGCTTTTGTTTTTGGTTCTTTGGTGTTCTGGCAGTAGAACATAGAAAACAAAATGGTGTAATTGTGTCACAGGGATATTCTTGGCCATGGAAATAAATTATAATAATGTTTAAGTGCTAGTATTAATGTCTGAATACTATATTTAATCTAAGCACAATAAACCAATTGAAATACTGGCCCTTCCCTTTTAGCTAAAAAAATTCTATGACTGAGAACATAAATGAGAAAGAGTACATGAGGGGTCATGATGTTCCAATATAATATTCCAAAGTAATTTCAGGTGTAAAAATATAGTCAAATTTTCTCTGATCCTGGATGGGTGAGGGGAACTCCCTGATGTGAGAGTTTCAAAACCTTGATCAAATGAAACAAAGCTACTAGATACTCATTCTCTGTACAATAACAATACACTACTTTCCCTCTTCCTCCTCTCTCCCTGTCTTAAGTGTTGATACTAAGGAAAGATACATCAGTCCCCCAAAAGAGATACATGTAATTCTAAGATAATGCAAACCTCATTATTAGTCAAGGTACAACCCTATACCACAACTATTAGAAACATCAAATACAAATTATCCAAATAAAAAAAGTCCAGGAACATAGCTCAGCAATCTGTTTGATCCCCAGTACCACAAACACACACAAGAATAATAACAACAACATTGAAAATATACTTTCTAGCTGAAGTATAGAGGGGGCTTCACTTTATTACTTTTACTGTTTAGTATGTTTGTAAATCTTAGACATTTAAAAATTATTCCTACTTTCTCAAAATACAAAAATAGAAAACAAAAGTGTGCATCACACCAAAGAAACTAAAATAGATTATTTTAATGTTTATTCATTTAATAAATTATGTTATCATATTCAGTTTTATGACTAGCAGTGGGGCATCGTGATGCATGCTTGTATTTCCAGCTACTTGGAAACCTGGGTCAAGAGGATCGCTTTAGTCCAGGAGTTCAAGACCACCCTGAACAAGACAGCAAGACCTTGCCTCAAAAAATCACTATTAAAGCCAGGCATGGTGGTGCATCCCTGTCATCCCAGAACTTGGGAGGCTGAGTCAGAAGGATCACTTCTAGTTAGAGGCTAGCCTAGTTAAACAGTGAGTTCAAGGCCAGTCTGAACTACAAAATGAGACCCTGTCTCAATGAAACAAACAAACAAAAAAATCACTATTAAAACTGTTATCTTCCTTAAAAATAATTTTTAATGCCATACCTCTTTCACTGAATTTGTTGATGGACTAAAATTCTTGGCAGTTGATTTAAAAGCATTGAAGTTGCCAACACTATATGCAGACTCATGAGGGAAAGAAGTTCCAACTTTATTTTCTTTAGTTTGGCTTTTCCACTGTACAGGCTAAAGAAAATCACAAATATTAATGGTTATCAAAAACAGACTATAGAAAATATAGAAAAACCAAGTGAACACAATCAAACAAAGATGACTACATTTGGTTCATAAAGAATTATTTTTGTGTTACTTCATTTCTACATGGTTCTTTTCCTACAAATAAAATCAAAGTTTAATATTCAGATAAAAACTAAATCATTTTTTCAAAGCTTTATAAAGCTTAAGGCTTTTTTCACCTGATAAAATTCATGTTAGTTTCAAAAACCTAAAACTGAGTACCAAGTAAACAGCATTTTTTATATATACACACACATTATTAGCAAATATATCACGTGTATCTAGCAAAACAAAAACTGTAAATTTTATTCACTATTAAACACATGGGGGACACAACCCACATACATACATAAAAGATAGCTTTCATTTGTAACAATTCAGAACTTACTTTTGTAGGTGGAGCAGCAGGCTTAGGGACTAAGCCTTTATAAACACTTGGACCAGTTCCATTCTTAACTGACTGTGACTGAAGATTTCCTACTACTGGGAATCCAGATAGCTGTAAATCTTTTGTGTTACCTTTCTTAATGACCAGCATTCTTGGAGCTCTAGACTTAGGATTCGGAGGATATTCTGCATAAATAAAGCACAAACAAGAGTTACACAGTGTTTCAAATTTTACCATAAAATAAATCCAATTAAAGAACACTATATTCCAAACCTTGATTTTAAATAACAGCAGCTGTTTCCTGAGTTAATTAAGCTAAATAAGTATAAACTACACTCCAGCTTAAGAAAACTAAAACATAATCTGATGGAATACAATAAGAATTGAGCAATGCCATGTAATACACATGAATTCAGCAAATTTCAAAAACAACCAAGTTTAATTAAATTCTAATATTTTTCATCAACTTATGAAAAACCATAAATTCCACCCTAATAACTTAAAACTTAAATTGTTTCACTCCACTTGCAAAATTACAATCAATAAGCAAGAACCTACCTCTATTCCTAAATGTGTAAATTAAAATAGTAAAAAGAAAATTCTTATGTTCATAGTGCCAATTCATTCAAATATTTACTGATCACCTAACTATTGCACAGTCAAGATATCAGGTGAGAGGGGACAATCAACTCAATTGTTTTTTAAAGACAGCATTAGAAATAAGTGCTAAATGCAGGCTATTCTCAAGACTACTGTACTTACTAAAAATATTAGACATTATTCCTAGAGTTTAATGTTCATATGTAATCAAGTAGGTACTACAGATATACATAGGTATTCACAATTACTGTAGTAAAGTATGTCTCTCTTCCTTTACAAAAATTCTGAAAGCATGTTCCATAGATTCATTTAGAAGATTTAATTCAAAAAGAGAAATCCCAGAAAAATCTAAATCAATAGTTCTGCATATAAACTATCCTATAAACTAGTGAGCTGAGTGGAGTTTTGCCCTGCCACAAAACTACACCAAACTTCCTACTGGTTCGTCTCAACAAAATTATACAAAGATCCCTAGAGGAACCTGAGAGGATTCTTGGGTTCATCTGAGGCTTCAAACTCTCTGAAAGAGAACGCTGGTCTGGTGCTTCATCTATTGTCATGCTGATAGATGAAAGACTAAGGGCATAGAACAAAGAGGTTCATCTTTCCAAAAGTGTGAACACAATGAAAAGTATATCACCAATCAAAAGTATAACTTTTCTGAAGATACTACACAACAAAATAAACAAAACAAAAAATAGGAATAAAGATCTCAGAACAATAAAGAGCATTAGAAATTATACTTAATAATGTAAGTTTGAAAATGATTACTTTTGGTAAACATGATGAAAAACATGCAATAAAATATTTTTAAAAGCACTTGATATTAAAATTTAAAAGGAAATCTTGGCCTGAAACTTAAAATTAAAATAAAACACAGGATTCTGAAAAACTGACCAATGCTCAGGAAACTCAAAAGGTACTAAGTTTGCAAGGCCTGGTCTCAGAAAAATCCAGGTGTTGGAGCAAGGGACATTCTATTCATATGTCACAAGTAGGTTTATACAAGACTGATGAAGGTAAGTCTAACTAAGCATACAAATTTATCTTCCTTCCTTATAGATTCTTATGTTAAAGTAAGTACAATGGGGAAGTAAACTAAATAAAATAGTACAGGAGTAGGGTCATTAGTGAAGAAATGATCTCAATGTCAGGAAGGAGATGCTGAAGAATAAACCTTCAGCTCAGAACATGCACAAAGGAACTTAACAGCTAAAAGTGATTTAATCTGCCACACAGAATATCAGAGACTGGGACTTGGAAATGTCAAATATCGTAAAGAGCAGAAAAGAAAACTATATAGACAAAATCAAGTAATTTACCAAGGAAAAATTCTATTCTAAATAATGCGTTTCTGGCAAGAAGAATAGATTCCCATATGAAAGGCTGAAAATGCAAAGAAAAATTTTTTTTAAAATTTACACAAATACAGTGCAATCACTGATTAAAACTAGGAGGCCAAAGATATGAACAGTAAACAAGTATAAATGAGTATTATCTTTAAGCCTCAAGTAGTTTGACTACAAATTTCACTTGTCCTAAAACTAGATTCCTTTAGAGCAAGAAATATTCTGGCTGTTTCTTAAATGAGGTCCTCAGTGCAAAGAATGATGGAATGTCCTATAAAGAAGAAGGTAAAGCCTAAGAAATCATTCACAGAAGAGGATGTAGGCAAAGTAAGAGATGATGAAGATTCCTGAAGGAAGGTCAGAGGGATTGAGAGGAAAGAGAAGCAGATACAATATTCTACTTGTGAGCATCCACATTTAAATATCATAGCACCGAGGTTAAGAACATGTGCTATTATAGCCAGGTAGGGAGATGCACGCCCATAATCCCAGCACTCAAAGAGGCTACAGCAGGAGGACTGCCAGGAGTTTGAGGTCAGCCTGATTTACACAGCAAGACCTTGTCTCAAAAAAAAAAAAACAAACCAAAAACCCCACAAAAACTAAACTAAAACAAACTTTTTTTTTTGAGACAGGGTCTTGCGTTAATGTGAAATGATTCATATGTAAATAATTACAAAACTACAGAAAAGTTACTATGGTCAAGATACAATTCAAATTAAAGATATGATTTTTCAGGAATTTTACGATGACACATGGGGTGGAGAAAATGAGAAAAACTACAAGACAAACATGATAAAGGCCAATTTTTGTCCTCTATTTACTCTAAACTTACCCATATAAGAAGGGTTCTTAAACCTAACACTGTAGCTACCTAAACAGAAGGGATAATAGACAAAACATTTGTATCATTTATATTTTTATACTCCTCTTCTGCTTTATATCTGTTTAGATTATCTCCAGAAATAATCTATCATAGATTATCTCCAGAAACTTTCCTAGAACAAACTTTCCAAGTAACTTTTTGGATTCAAACACTATCCATTTTGTTAACTGGTATACTTAATGAAGATGATCCAAAGTGTTTAATTTTTTAAAGAGAAAATTTATACATTAATGAAAGATCTTAATCCGTATATAAAAGAATTAGAAAATACATAACTTCAAATTACTTCTTTCCATAAACTGTATGTGCTTTATTTCCTCAAGCTCATGTAAACAGGTATTCTAATATTCAAATTTAAATTTTACAAAAGTGAGAGTAAATGTTTTGAATTTTCATTCTATTATTTCCCTCTACCCTACAAATAACTGTGATCTGACAGTAAATGACTTCAATATCTCTTTGTTTTGATATTGTCTCTGTATCTATGAATATAAGAAATAGTTTCATTCCTTAAATACAAAATCAGTGGTGGAGGGAAAGTGGCCCAATTCCTCAGAAGACAAATTAAAATACTGCAACATCCAACTAATACTAGTCACATAGATAACCTTGAGCTGAAATCTCAATTCTTCAACCTCTTTCCTATCTTTCACAATACTTTCCATGTTACATACAAAAAGTTTCTGATTGAATCACTTCATTAAGAACTTCTTTTTTTGGTCTAGCATCCCGAAAATTCATTTATGTCTTCTAATAAATCTACAACTACACTTTCCTTAGCTTACTGGCTTTGAAGAAAATAATTAGCTGACATTTCCTAGAAACTGGGACATGAGCAAGATTTTTAAAGACAATTTAATGGTTTTCTCATTACTTTTACACTATTCTCACCTAACAGATGAGGAAATTCATTCAAAAATTGAGATTCCATTATCTGCCCAAAATCGAAAGAATACTTAAGTAAAAGATCTAACATTAGGACCTAAATCTATCTGATTCCAAACCTAGTTTTTTTTAAGCACTATACAGTATTACAGTGGAAATGGAAATTAAGGTATTATTATGCCAGATATTTCAAAATGCTTACCATCGCCAACTAAAAATACTATACTGAATGGTCAGGATGACAGGCTTTTAAGAATACTACCACTAGTGGCCGGGGATTTAGCTCAGTGGTTTCGCCAGCCACTGCACAAGCGCAAGGACTCAAGTTCGATCCCCCGCACCAAAAAAAAACCAACAACAAAAAAAAGAATACTACCACTAGAGTCAAGATTACTAACACTTTGATACCAGTTACTACTTTCGATATCTTGCTATCTTAACATAAGGTGCAAATTTAATGCATAAAGAAAAGCATACAATCAAGAGAAAAGTAAATACTATTAGAATTGGGTTTGCAATGTTAATTTGAAGATGAAACTTGGTCATAAGGCAACAGTGACTCACATCAGATTCAAAGACTCTTAAGCAATTGAAGCAAATTCCTATTGCACACAACTGTAACGTAGAAAAATAATCTAAGACCAGTTTTTAAAAGACTGATTCTATGTGTGTTTTGATGGTTTTGAGTGTTTTTATATAATTAACAAATATGTTTTGGTTTATAGTACTATGAGAGTATTAGTTAAAACAAGTTTCAATAACTTAATATTTATCTTGATAGCAACATATAATGATACAGGGGACCCTCAAGTTACGACCAGCCTGACATAAGAACAACTTAATTAGGTTAATGGAAGATTCATCTGTCTCTTGTTATCTATAGCGTGTACCCAGGTAAAGATCCATATCTCATCTGAATTGACCTACAACCAACCTGAGTTACAATCAGCCCTCAGGAGGCGATCAAATTCATAAGTCCACTGTATTTCTCTTTTAATGAGGTTCCAACACTACTCATATAAAGAACAGGATTAAAGAAATAAATGCTGCAAGTAACAACTAAATAACTTCAATCACTAATGTTTCTAACTCTGATCAAATAAAATTTACTTGAATCAAGTTGTTTACATATCCCTTGTCAGTTTTTCCTTCTCAAACTTAAACATATGTTACATTACTGTCTTAATGTTTTAATTTTTTCTATGTAAGACACAGAAGGAAAGTGGTGTTATTTAAGTGATCAACCGAATCCTATCAAGATGACTCCTTTATTTTTATCAAAATTTATTTTAAAAACCTCAATGGTTTTCATCATGATATACCTAATTTAATGTAATTATGTCATTCAGTCTGTGTGCTTCTGACTAGTATTAAAATTCTCTAGAAAACCATCCACCTTTATGAACTGGTCATTAATTTGCTTTGATACTGACGGCTAAACCCAATTTTTTAATAATGTTTATATGTTTATATAATGTTTATATAATGTTTAATAATGTTTATATAATAATGTTTAATAATGTTTATAATAATGTTTATATATTTAATAATGTTTATATATTTATATGAATGTTTATATTCCAAAATTCAGGGGAAGTTAATTAAATTATCAAGGTATACACAAAAACACTGAATTAAAACATAACTAAGCTAATGTCTAGTGAAAATTTTTCATTACTTATTGTCTTAAGCACTAAATGTTTAATCTTTGCTGATGAAATATTGCTGATATACTGAATCACTGACATAAAAACAGCCAGAAGGACTTCTGAAAATCACAAGTCAGTAAATAGCCACCAACTCTATCTCAAATTGAAAACACATATTTAAATACACATCACTCCTCACCCCCACCCCCCGCTGAATAACTGAGTAACACAATCATTTTAAAATTCTCAGACACACTAGTATGTTGAACTCCTGTTTTGGTCAAATTATTAATAACATATAGACAGAATATCTAATAACTATTAATCTCATGCACCAAAAAGTTGTGATACTGGTAAAGACAGAAAAAAAATAAAGTTACAAGTTTAAGCTCCACAAAGGTGTTTCAAATAAAGCCAGCTAAGTTCTTAGTAGAATTAAATTTAAGCAACTTTATTTTAAAACAGTTTAACTACCTACCTTCCCTCAAGGTATTTTTTAATTGTAATATTATGTTCAGAATCTGCCAATTTTTCATCTACAAAATCATAGTTTTGGGAACAGTTTTTTTCTTTGTATACATATTAACATTTTCATTAGTAAATTTTTACTTACCTGGAAGGAAGTAGCACTAGAAAAGCTCTATTGAAGTCTTTCCTAAAATTCTCTCGGCTTCCTCAGGAACAAAGCTATTCTAAATGTTGCAATGAGGAAAACAATACTTGGGAAACCCGAGGGGAAAGTGAGACAGGAATAGTGAAGTGATACAATGAGAGTTTCATTGTATTCCTATAGGAAGTACTGGGAATTTAACAACCATGCCACAATTAACCATTTTCTTTTTCTTTCTTTATTTTTAATGCAGACAACATTTCTTAGTTTACCTAAACAGAGTATACCTTCCATTTAAACATCTTTTCAACTAGTATTCAAAATCCTTAGATCAGCCCTGAAACAGCAGAACCAAAATCTTTATATTAATACATTTTAGTCTCATTATTTACAAAGATGTCTTTGCCTTTAAACCATTTCTAAGACTATTAAGTCAACCAAGGATCATTAGCAATAGAATCTATAGGTAGTTTTATATGACAAACGCTCAGTGACATTCTATTTTTCAAAAATTTACTTTCATTCTAATAAATTCCAAATTATTCCTAATTTCTTAGAGATTCTATTTAACACCTTCCAGGTGGTTTCTATATTCTTATGCAATCAGCTGTTCCCAGAAAAACTGAAGAATAAGGAAACATACCTAAGAGAGGAGCTTGGGAGATTTTTTTGGTTGGGTATGTGTGTGTCTGGGCGTGTAGGCCTGGGGAGAGTGGTAGAAATACTAATTTGCAATACAGAAAAAACAAGCCATTCACATGGTTCTAACAAAAGTGCCTGACCACCACCACCCCGCCCACCCACCCTCAAAAAGCCCTTAAATAAAAGAGGGAGATCAAAGAAAACAAAATAATTCCCCAGTTTCACCCAATAAATACAATTAGAACAGTACAGGAAGTGGCAAAGTTTAAAATAATGCCTTTACTAGGAGTAGTATACTATAAGCCACAATCCTTTTTAATAAGTTATTAATTTTCAATACAAAAATACAAGATTAGTACAAGTTTCAAAGTGGACACAGCACTTTGAACTTGATATCAAATAATTACATTTATTTTCCAGATGTTAAACCTTGTAAGATTTTCCATTATTTTAAACTTCACTTAACTCTTTTAAAAGCTGTCTACTTTGTACTGTATGAGTGCAGTTTAATCTTCTGAAGAGGCAATCAAATTAAACAACAGTTTTAAAGGGATGTTACCAAAGCCTTGAAAATCAAAAAGGCAAATAATTGCAAATACAGACTAGTTCCATAGGAAAATATAAAATTATTTCCAACAGTCTATGAACAATCATTTCATAGGCAAAAAAATCTTGATTTTATGTCACACTATGATCAGAGTACTTATTTTTCCATTCAACTAAGTTTTGAACTATAAAACTAAAAATTTAAGTTTTTTGGATTTTAGTTTATCGGGCTGCTCTAAAACTTACATTAACAATCATTTCCAAAAAACTCAATCAAATTGAGAATACTTCATGATACTAACTCTGCAGATGTACTATCTCAAGTAAAACTCTACTACCTCAAATCTCTTATGTGTTACGTTTCTGTAGGTTAGCACATCAAAAACAGACACTTAGAGAAAGTTTTAATCTGGCCTACTTTTTATTTAAAAAAATAAATGAAAACCCATAAATATCAACATTTTGAACCCCTCAAAATTAGACAGAAAATCACTTACCCCACACACCTGCAGCTAAAGATTTATTGTGATTTGGTTCTCTTTCATATTCAGGATTTAAAGATGGCTGGAACAAAGTTAAAATTAAAATTCTTAAAAGTATTTAATTATCTCACATTTAAGCAATAAATCCTTCAAAAGCAATCTCATAAATATAAATCCTGTAACTGAAGAACCTGATATGATCAACTCTTAACTATTAATGACTAATAAACTTTACTTATTTTCAGTTTACTCTGCTAATCATTAAAATGCTTTTACTATTTATGTGCACTGCTAGTTGAAGGTGGAAAAAAAGTTTTTCTAATCATCCACGAGTATCTGATGAAAGCATGAATTTTAAGGAAAAGAAAAGGGCTGGGGTGTTGCTCAGCAGTACAGCGCTTGCCTAATAAATGAGGCCTTGAGTTTGTTCCCCAGCACCATGCACCACACACACACACACACACACACACACGCACGCACGCACGCACGCACGCACGCACGCACGCACGCACAGTAAAACAAAACAAACAACAACAACCAAAGAAAAAAAACAGCACGGTTATGCATGTGTGTAGTCCCAGCTACCTGGGAGGCTGAGGCAGGAGACTGGCTTGAGTCCAGGAGAGTTCCAGGCCAGTCTGAGCAAGATAGCAGCAAACAAGAGAGAATGTGGTCTTTGTATCAGGCTGAGATTAATTCCTCCTTAACATAAAGTCAAGATCAGAGAAGAGGAAGAAGGTTATTATCACTGGGTTGCTTTAGGTAACACACTTGTTCTCAAAGCAAAGTGAAAATTTTTATTTCAACTAGTAATGATCAGGATTATTAAATAGAAAAGAAAGATGAGTGTTGAATGGGTACTCTAAACCTGATCTTGGTAGATATGTTTAGAATCTTAAACTTTTAGTATTGTGTTAGATGTTTTTCACACTACCGGGCAACAGAGCCAGCCTCATTTAAAGAAGATAATACATGCTAAATAAAATGAATGTAAATATATTTTAATCACCTATATAAGTAAATTATTACTAAGCACTGAACTGATATTACTATAATGCCTCAAAAGAATATACATGCATACCGTAATGATTCATTCCTTGATACATACAAATTGAATAAGGTTAAGATTTTGTTACTGACTATATAGGCCCTCCTCCCCTCTCCCCCCGCCCCCCTTACAGTACTGGGGATTGAACAAGCACTCTACCACTGAGCTATATCCCCACTCCCAGCCCTTTTTATTTTGACAGTGTCTCACTAAGTTGCCTACGCTGGCCTAGAATTTGGTATTCTCCTACCTCAGTCTCTAGAGTAGCTGGGATTACAGGCCTGTGCCACCATGTCCAGCTGCATTTCTTAATTATACCATGCTATTAAACACATTATTAGAAATTACATTGTTTATATTCCAAGTCTAGAATTATAATAAATGCTAACCAGCATCTTCGGGGCAGAGATGGGGGATAATGACAACAGCATCAACAAATTTGTATTAAATGTTATACTGTTATACTGTTTTAACTGATTCATTTACAGTACTTATTTAACCTTCACAACACTAAAGACAGCACTACTATTCTGTTTGGTTAAAAAAATTTAATTTTATGGTAACTATCAAGTGAAAAAAATTGACCACACAAATGGGAAGGCATAGAGATTCCAATGTTACTTGAAATAGAACTTGAAAGTAATCTTTTATTCTTTGCATTCCCTCATCACTTCCCTACCCTAAATCCAATCTATCAAATTCTTTCCCTTACTCAAACCTCCACTTAAACTATTTACAAATGTAGTTTGGAAGCATGTCTTCACGTATCTCGGCTACCTAGCTCAAGCCATTATTTTCTCCTAAACTACTGCCTCTGCTTTTCTAACAAGTCCTTCTTCTACCTTGATAATCAACTCAAGATCTACCAACTGTAACAGTTTTAAAACTAAAATCTGTTGCAGCTGGGGATTTAGCTCAGTGGTTCCGGTGCCTGCCTCTCAAGCTCAAGGTTCCAAGTTTGAACCCTGGTACCAAAAAACTAAAATCTTACACTGACTCTTCCCTTTTTTCTCCCAATACTGGATGGCAGGAGGTTTGCTGGGGACTGAACACAGGGCTTCACCATGCTAAGCATGCACTCTACCACTGAGCTGCACACTCAGTCCGTCTAAACAAAGCTTGTTCCCTTCCTTTTCATGTCAGCCCCAGATTAAATGCCACTTTTCTACAAAAGCTTCTCTTGACTTTCCAAACCCAACAGACATCTAATAGTCTTTTGTCTACATTCTCTGCAAAATATGAATTGCTTTTTGTTCTCACTGCTTCTGTAAGAATAAAATCTCAATGAAAATGGGTACTCAAATATGTAAATAAGAATATATAAAGATAAAATGTAAATTCTCTATAGTACATTAAGACATATCATGAATCACAATTACTAGGTAAATAGGGCTGTACACTGAACTAATTTTTCTCTAATTTGAGATGGACAGTATTTAGGTAAGCATTGTTTAGTGTTTAGATGAAAGAATTCAGGAACTGGAAAAAATTACAAAAACTTTGCTCTTTATTAGCTCAAACTTATTTTTAGTAGTGGAATTAACATTAATTTTATCTGACCTAGGATAAAAATTTAGTTTGCTCTCCCTGATCACAAAGAAACTTAAATAGAGAAATAGCTGCAATCACTTCTCAGCCTTTTGGCTAAGATTAAGTGGAGAAATAGCTACAAAACACAGAGTGCTTTTCTAAGAGTAGCTTAAGGGTCATATGGGAATAATCATGTGTTGACAACATAGGGCTTGGAATTTAGCTCTATGGTAGATAGCATGCTAGCATGCTCAAAGCCCTGGTCTCAATCCCTAGCAGCGCACGCGCGCATGCACACACACGAAATTAAGTAAATGTATTTGCTGAAAATAAATAACAGTGACGACTGAAATAAAATGTACTGGAGCTAGCGCGGTGGCACATGTCTATAGTCTCAATTACTCCAGAGCGTGAGGTGAGAGAAACACATGGGCCCGAGTTCACGACCAGACCAGCCAACATAGCAAGACCCTATCTCAATAAATCAATCAATTGATAAAATGTATTGGTAAAATGCTCTTTCCAAAAGCATAATAGTTTTTAAAATATATTATGATGCAGTTGCAAATAAATTAAGCTTAACTACTCTTCTCAGCAAAATTATTCATTTTTCTGCAAGGAATAAAATAACACAAGTAACACCAGAAGTTTTTAAAGCTATATACATGGTGAGATGCTGGAATAAACTGAAGTCGGAAGAGAAAGGGGGTGTGAGGGAGAAAAGGAAAGGAGAGAGAGAGAGGTTAAGAGAAGAAAGGAGGGAGGGAGGGAGGAAGGGAGGGAAGGAGCGGAGTGGTTGGTGGAAGGTGATGAACAAAAATCCCAAACAAAATTTTAGGCTTATAAAATAACTGCACAGGTATTTACCTGTCAAGTGTGATCTTTATAGAAAATAACCTGTATTGAGATAAAACCTCCTAAGTTTGCCTTGATACTAAAATGGCACTTTTTAAGAAACTTACAAAGTCCTCAGCCTCAAACTGTTTTCGCTCCCTTTTGTCTTCTTTCCTCCCAGTTTCATTGTCAGGTATGTTGCTTTCATGTAGTCCTTGGCTTTTTCCAGAATGGAAAATACTGCTTCGAGAACGAGAATTTCCACCATGGTATCCCCCTCGGTGATTTATGTTTTCAGTAGCATTTCTACCATGTGTACGCCATCCATTCTTTTCTTTCCTTCCAAAGGTACCTTTATTTAATAACAAAGATAAAATAAATTCAGATAGTTATGCTTAAAGATTAAGAGCAATCAAAACATCCTTAAAAGGCTGTGAAGAACATTATCCTTAAACTCCATCACTCCTTAGCAAATGTTACCTCCATTAGGACGCCCAATACCAGAATCAAAGCCATCTGAAGAATTATGTCGTCGACGATTCACATCATATCGACTTTCTGTCCATGAAAAATTTTCAGAATGTTTCTCAAAATTCAGTGATGACTGAAATGAAGCATTAAACATATAGATAAATATACTTACAAACCTAAATAACTTTTAAAACTATTGACAATCCACCTTATTTTCAAGAATTTTAAATGGCCAAGGAGAATACTATGTAATTATTTTACAGGTATTTAATAACTGGTAACTCATGTAGAATGAGGTGGAATCCATTTCTGGTCCTTTTTTTTTTACTTTATGGAAACAGGCACACTTCTCTGAAAGTGTTCAAGAGTTACCATCGCCTCTTGCAAAAAATATTAAAGGTAAAATGACATTATAAGGGATACAAGTTACAATATGATACATTTCTCATAACAAAGTATAATATCCTGTATCAGATACTACTTCACATAAACATTTTCATTTTATCTCAAAGCTTTCTTCTAAGTCCAAAATAAGGTCTGTCAATTGAAACTTCAGTTTTTAAGTTCTCTAGATTCATTTCTAGACTCTTTTCCCAAATCAACTATAGCAATCTGAAAATCATAACCAAAATTCTTAAAATTTTTAAAAAATGAGCAAAGGATACAAAAAATACTTCTTGGAACTATGAAGAGCTAAAAATAATGAAAGCATATGCAGTTTCTCTAGTAATCAAAAAATACAAATTAGAACAGGTTGGTATTTCATGCCCAACATGAGTAGTCAACTCAAACTTAATGCCTACTTTCAGAATCAGTCCCTTCAAGATTATCTTTACCATCCTACACCTACCTAGTTAACAAGTCGCAAGCCAGGATCAATCCCTAACTTCTTTTCTTGATTCTGTCAGACCTTTTTAACAACAATATCCTCACTACTCACTGCCCCCTCAATGGGGGGAAATCAAGACCTTCTCTTACTGTATCTTTGTTAAATCATCTTTAGCACAACAGTTAAATCTCTTGAAGCTGTGGCTAACACGTCCCTCTTTTTTACCCTCTCACTACAAACTGAAGATTAAAAAACAAAGCCCCAGCAATTACCTTTCAACAGCTTATTAACTCACATACATCCTTCAACTCCAATTCACCTGACTGAAATGTGCCTTAAAGTATGAAATTTTAACTTATCAGAGCCCTCTTTTCAGGAAAAAATTTTGGAACTAAGGACTGAACATTACAGTTCTCCCCATACAAATTATGATCTATCTTATTAATCTATTTTATCTTTTCAGTTTATGAACATTATGGAGAGAAGCCAAAGAATACTACACTGTGTTACCAATAACAAACATTTATATCTAGAGAAAATTTAAGATGGGGTACACAATATAAGATAGTTAACTGTTGCATTCTCTACCACAACAAACTCAAGCCAGCAGGTAACTGATGTAATAATTCAACTTTGCTACTGTAAATCATTGTTATTTCTGCTTTCAAATATCACTCATTTCTTATGTTCTATGGTTTAAGGATCTAAATACTCAACCCAAACTTAAAACTACACAGTAAAAATAATCATTACTTAAGAGGAGAAAATTGGGTTTACACCAAGAGGCAAAGTGACTTGATTATGCAAAAGACTTTAAGCTATAAACTGTAGCTCTCCAAAGAGAAGACTTTAGCAGATATTTTATCCTAAAGCAGGTAGATGCAAAGGTATACCTTGCTTCTGACCAGGGTTTATGATTAAACATGTAACCTAGATTTCATTTCTCTTTCATCACCTCAAAAGTCTCACTCAATTATCTCTTCTCACCTGTCTTCAAACTCTTTCTCATCAGCAATTATTAAACTTATCTTCTAGAGGACAAGAGTAAAAGACACTACATACTTATTTCCACACTTTTCTCTTAGCCTATTTCTACCATTACATTTCCATAATTCTCTCATTTATACTCTTTAATACACTGCCATTACAATTTATTATCTCTGCCTGCCTGCATCCATAATCATTCCATTTGCCTTTGTCAAACTGATCGTGTTTTATGCCGAACTGTGGTCCTCTTTTAAGCCTTGACGTATCTATCCTGTCTGTGACATACTGACAAAGGGCCTTTACTTTTAAAAATGCTGTTCTTTCTTGTACTGCTGGACAACTGTTTTTTTTTTTCCCTGTATCTATTAAGAAAGACAAAGCATTACTCTTCAATGTTTGTGACTTGTTCTTCTAATTTTCTCATTGTGTACTCTCCCTGGATCCATTCATCTAATCTCAAAACTTAATTACATGCTGAACCATCAATCTCAAGTCTTGACTCCAGTACAGATCTCACTCCTGGGCACTAAGAAGTCTGCTGATTTCAGATCGATGTTCCCTGGTCATCTCAAATTTAAATATGCCCAGCTGGGGTGTGGTGGCACATGCCTGTAATCCTAGCACTTGGGAGGCAGAGACACAGGAGGATTGCCGCAAATTCAAGGCTAGCATGGGCTACATAGTGAGTTCAGGGCCAGCCTGAACTACAAAGCGAAACCCTGTCTCAACCCCAAAATCAGGGCCAGGGATTTAGCTCAGTGGTTCTGCCGCCTGCCTCGAAAGCGCAAGGGCCCAAGTTTGATCCCCAGTACCAAAAACAACCAACCAAACAAACAAAAAAACCCAAAATCAGAAAAATAAATATGCCCAAAACTGCAGAGCTTGATGTCACACACCTAACATCCCAGTACACTGAGACAGAAGATCTCAAGTTCCAAGGCCAACCTGGACTACATAATAAGACTCTGTCTCAAAGAACCAAAATACTATAATGAGGAGAAGAATGTCCAGAACTTGTATGTTATATCACCTTCGTGTTTTCATGTCTTATCACCTGGGTCACCTAAGCCTATTAGAAAAATAATTTCATGAAAAGGCAAAATAGACATTTCCATATCCACAAAACTAAGAGTTAGTAACTAGCACATCTGCCCTAGAGGTCATAAAAAAAGAAGACCTTAGGGCTCAAAGGAAATGGTAACAAAAGAAAACTCAAACACACAGGAAGTGAAATCTACCAGAAATGTTAAATGTGTGAATACGCCTCTGTGTGTGTGTGTGTGTGTGTGTGTGTGTGTACAGTACATGTTATGGTCTTTTAAAAAATTCATTCTCAATCTGTAAAAAATAATACCCACTGCTGATAAAAATGTGAAAAAAACAGAAGCCTCATACATTACTAGTAGGAAGGTAAAATGATACAGCCATATTGGGTATCAGTTTGGCAGCTCTTAGAAAGTTAAACATACATTAACTATCCTAAGCATTCAACTTCCAAGTATCTGTACAGACTCATACAGTAATGTTCTCAGCAGCATTATTTATAACAGCAAAAAACTATTTAAATTTAAATGGCCATGAACTGGTGAATGGATAAAGAAGTTGTGGTATACCCATATAAAAAAAAAAAGAAATATTGACACAGGATATAATTAGGTGAATCACAAACAACATGTTAAGTGAAAAAAGCCAAATCCCAAAGATTATCTTATAGGGATAAATGTGAAATTTCTAGAAAAGATAAATCAATAGAAACAGCAAGATTAATAGTTGCCTGGATCTAGTGAAACAAGCAGGAATTGACTGCAAACAATCATTGTGATTTCCAAAAACTTAAACTTTCTACCTCTACTTGCTCTTTAGTTGACTTTAAAAATCACTATTTTTGAAGAGTACATGGTTGAACATTATATTACTAGTCTTCCACTAGCTTTGCTGTATATAACATCGCTGAGAATTGGGTTATGATGCTAAAAAGTGTCCAGCTCACTTTTAAAGGGACTTGAAGGCTATTTTTGCTGAAAACACGAACTCTTTATTTGGGCCTCCACATGTCCATGGGTAATTTAGCATCTCTGCTTTCATGTTTTATGTCTCCTTTGTTACTTTAACCTTTAGGTCACATCTCTACTCAATTCTGCACACAGATATCACTAAATCATTAAAGAAACGTTTGTCTAGAAATGCCAGTGCAAACTGATGCACCAAAACCTCCCTAACTGCCTTTCTTCTTTTCAGATGGATGACAAGACAGTAATAATCAAAATATTTTCAAGGTTCAGAGAGGTATCCTGTAATCACATGTGAACCAGCATCAGCTTTCACAATGCCCCATTCTAGCCCACTCCAGACCATCACAAGATCCCTCAAAATCTCTAGTCATCAATCCTTTCTCTACCTAAACTTCCATCAGTTTTAATTTCTTCCCTGCCTAAGGATAAAAGGAGGGCCTAGGATGAAGCTCAGTGGTAGAATGTTTGTTGGGTTTGATCCTAGGAAGTACCAAAAAAAGCAACAGACAAAAGGAGCTTGAAATTTATGCAAAGTTAAGGTCATCTTTATTTTTATTGGTACCAGGGATTGAACTTGGGTCCTTGTGCCTGCAAGGCAGGAGGCAGAACCACTAAGCTAAATCCCTGGCCCCAAGATGATCTTTATTAAAGAGAAATCAGTTTGCTGGCTTCCCAAATCTTTTTCCTTTCCCCTACAATTTGTCCTCAAGTCCTTGGGTGTTTTTGAAAGGGGAATGAGGGGCTGGGGATTTAGCTCAGTGGTTCCGCCGCCTGCCTTGCAAGCGCAAGGACCCGAGTTCGATCTCCGGTACGAAAAAAAAAAAAGAAAAGGGAATAAATGGACTTAGGTTTGGTAACACCATAAAAGAATTTTTTGTGGTGATATATATAAGGCCAGATTACAATAATGGTAGCGCTATGGCATGTATTTACTAAAAAACATCAAACTCTACACTGGTAAATGATAGCTTAACAGAAATTTAAAAAAAAATAAGGCCAAGTCGAACTTTCAACACTACTCCAAAAAACCAAACACTGTAATAGAAAATAAGTTGTCTTTCATAAGGGCAAGAACAACAAAACACAGGAGAGATCAAAAGATACGCAGAACTAAGATTAAATAAAAACTTTAGAATTCTAGTAAAGAGTATGTCTTGAAACCATCAATCTTCCTACTAACCAGAAGGCCTGATATAAAGATTCAAACTCCCCGCTAAATTTGACTACATATTCAATGTGATCTTTCCTAGTCAACATACAGTAAGTTATAGTCTTTTGACTAACAAAATGACATAAATTTACCTA